GTGCCAATGCCAGGCAGTTATCTCTTTTTCAACATCCTGTAATTTTCTGAGTACAGGTCTTTTACCTCCTTAGTTACGTTTATTCCTAGGTTGTTATTTTTTTGGTGCAATGGTAAATGGGATTTTTTTTTTTTTTTTTAAGTTTCTCTTTCTGTGAGTTCATTTATTGGTGTATAAAAAAGCCATAGATTCTGGGTGTTAATTTTGTATCCTACTACTTACTGAATTCATTTATTAAGTCTAGCAGTTTTTTGATGGAGTCTTTGGGGTTTTCTATGTACAACATCATGTTATCTGCAAATAATGACAATTTTACTTCTTTTCCAATTTGAATGCCTCTTATTTCTTCTTCTTGTCTGATCACTATGGCTAGCACTTCCAGTCCTATGTCGAACAAGAGTGGACAGAGTGGGCATCTTGTCTTGTTCCTGTTCTTAGGAAAATGGTTTTAGTTTTTGCCCATTGAGTATGATGTTGGCTATAAGTTTGTCATATGTGGCTTTTATCATGTTGAGAGTTTTTATCAAAATGTGTGTTTAAAAAAGCCTAAATAATATGCAGATTGACCCTAAAGGCGGAATGACCTGTCACTATGATGTGCACTGACCAACAGGGGGCAAATGCTCAACACAGGAGCTGCCCCCGGCTGGTCAGTAAGCTCCCCCAGGGCTCAGCTCAGCCACAGGCCGGGCTGATGGCTGTGCAGGGGCAGTGGCAGGAGTGTCTCCCGCCTTGGCAGCGCTGAGGGGTCCACCTGCGGCTTAGGCCCCCTCCCCACGGGAAGTGGGCGTGGGAAGTAAGCCTAAGCCATCAGTCAGACATCCCCTGAGGGCTCCCGGGCTGCCAGAGGGATGGAAGTATTCCTTTCTCTTGGATTTTCTGAAATAGTTTGAGGAAATTGATCTTAGTTCTTCTTGAAATGTTTGGGGAAATTCCTCTGTGAAGCCTGGGTTTTGTTTGTTGGGAGTTTCTTGATTACTGCTTCTATTTCATTTGTTGTTATTGGCCCATTCAGGTTTTTTTATCCTAACTGATTCAGTTTTGAGATATTGTATTTTATTAGGAATTTGTCCATTTCATCTATATTGTCCAGCTTATTGCCATATAGCTGTTCATAGTATTTTCTTTATATATATATTATTGATTTTTTTACAGAGAGAGATAGAGAGTTAGAAACATCAATGAGAGAGAAACATCGATCAGCTGCCTCCTGCCCACCCCCCACTGGGGATGTGCCTGCAACCAAGGTACATGCCCTTAACTGAAATCAAACTTGGGACCTTTCAGTCCACAGGCCAACGCTCTATCCACTGAGCCAAAGTGGTTTCGGCTCATAGTATTTTCTTACAATCCTTTGTATATCTATGGTGTCTATGCTTAATTCTCCACTTTCATTTCTGATTTTATTTATTTGGGTCTTCTCTCTTTGTTTCTTGATGAGTCTGGCTAATGGTTTATCAGTTTTGTTTATCCTTTCAAAGAACCAGCTCTTGGTTTCATTTATTTTTTGTGTGTGTTGTGTTTTGTTTTGTTTTAGTCTCTATGTCATTTATTTCTGTTCTAATCTTTATTATATCCTTTCTTATACTTACTCTGGGCTTTTCTTGTTGTTCTCTTTCTAGTTCTTTAAGTTGTAAGGTTAAATATTTTATTGTTGATTTTTCTTATTTTCTGAGGTAGTCCTGTAGTCTATGAACTTCCCTTGTAGGACTGCCTTTGCTGTATCCCAGAGATTTTGGGTTGTTTTGTGTTCATTTTAGTTTGTTTCTAGGAAGTTTTTTATTTCTTTCTTGATCTCACTGGTAACCCATTCATTGTTTAATAACATACCATTTAGCCTCTATGTGTTTGAATGTTTTTGGGTGTTTTTACTGTAGTTTATTTCTAATTTCATTCCGCTGTGATCTGTAAAGATGCTTGATATGATTTCAGTCTTCTTGAACTTGTAGCTACTTGTTTTGTGTCCTAACCTGTGGTCTATCTTTGTAAATGATCCACATACACTTGAGAAGAATGTATGTTCTGCTATATTGGAGTGAAATGTTCTATAAATGTCAATTGAGTCCATCTGACCCAGTGTGTCCTTTAGAGTCTGTTTCCTTGTTAAATTTTTGTCTGGAAGATCTCTCCAGGGAAGTCATTGGGGTGTTAAAGTCCCTACTATGGCTATATTGTTGTCGATCTCTCCGTTAAAGCCCTCTGGAAGTATTTTTTATATATTTAGGTTCTCCTATATTTGGTGCATATATGTTTACCAGGGTTATATCCTCTTGTTCGACTGGTCCCTTTAGTATTATGTACTGACTTTTGTTGTCTCTTGTGATGGCCTTCATTTTCAAGTATATTTTGTCAGATTGGAGAATTGCTACTGTAGCTTTTTTTTTCTTTTCCGTTTGCATGGGGAAAAAATTTTCCATCCCTTCACTCTCATCTTGTGTGTATCTTTTGTTTTGAGGTGGGTCTCTCGTGGACGGCATATAGTTGGGTCATGTCTTTGTATCCTATCCTACACCTTTTGATTGGAGCATTGCCATTTTAATTTTCTATGGCTAGGTTTCTCTCTCTGTTTCTTCTTCTCAGCCATCCCTTAAAGCATTCCCTTTAGCATTTCTTATAATGCTGGCTTGGTGGTGATGAACTTCTTTGGCCTTTTTTTTTTTTTTTTTTTTTTTTTTTTTTTTTTTTTTTTTTTTTTGGAAGCTCTGTATTTGACTGTTATTTTGAGTGAGAGCCTTGCTGGATATAATAATTTTGGTCTCAGATCCTTGCCTTTCCTGCCTTGAGTACTTCTTACTATTCCCTTCTGGACTGTAGAGTTTCTGAGCAATCAGGTATCAGCCTTATGGAAACTCCTTTGTAGGTAACAGTTTTCTTTTCTCTTGATGCCTTTAAGATTCTTTCTTTGTCTTTAATTTTTGGCATCTTAACTATGATGTGTCTGGGCGTGGGTCTGTTTTGGTTCTTGTTTGGGGCTCTCTGTGCCTCCTGAACTTGCGTGATTTTCTCCTTTACTAAGTTAGGGAAGTTTTCTACAATTATTTATTTAAACACCTTCCCTATTTCTTTTTTTTTATATATAATATATTTTTAATTAAATTATTATTTTTGTACATATACCAATGCCCCCCCTCCCCTTCCCTATTTCTTTCTCTCTTTCTGCCTCTTCTGGCACACCTGCTATACTATAATAATATCGTTATGTTTCTCATTATCCCACAGCTCCCTTAAGCTGTCCTCCTGGGGGTTTTTTTGTTTGTTTTTAAATATATTTCTTATCGCTTCTCGGCCTTTTGGCTAAGATCAAGTGTAAATATATTTCTTTATTGACTTCAGAGAGGAAGGGAGAAGGAGAGAGAGATAGAAACATCAATGATGAGAGAGAATCATCAATTGGCTGCCCCCTGCACGCCCCCATTGGGGATCAAGCTGGCAACCCAGGCCTGTGCCTTTGGCTGGAATCGAACCCAGGACCCTTCAGTCCGCAGGCCGACCTCTACCCTCCGGGCCAAGCTGGCCAGGGCTCCTTCTGTTTGTTTTTAATTGTTTTTTCTTTTTGGTTCTCTAATTGAGTGATATTTTCTACTTTGTCTTCCAATTCACTGATTTGATCTTCAGCTTCCCCTAATCTGCTCTGTATTCCTTCCAATGTGTTCTTTATTTGTGTTATGTCATTCTTTATCTCAGACTGTTCTTTTTTCATAGTTACTATTTTTTTTCCCATACTGTTGAGCATTTTTAACATCATTACTCTGAAATCTGTTTCAGATAAATTTTTTATCTCTACTTCATTTATCTCTTCTGGAGAATTCACTAGTTCTTTCATTTGGGGATTGTTTCTTTGTTTCTTCATTTTGGTTGTCTGGCTTTGTGCTATGGATTAGGTAGATCCTCTATACCTCTCAATCTCTACTGCAAGACAGTGTTAAAGGCTATTTCTGACTAATCGGATCAGGCAAAGACTACAGAGACTGCCTCAACTACAGACTAATAGGATTCTGACTTGAATTGTCCCCAAGCAATCGTCCTCAGCTGTGGTGAGAGTTTTTTTTTAACAGGGTGGGGCAGTTGCTTTTGCCTGGAGGTTAATTGTCATTTTTAGTCTCTTAAGCGGCCTCAGGGCAAGGTGTTTTCCAATAGGGTGTGTGGACTGTCTTTCCCCAGGCAGGGCAGGTGTCTCTGTGGGAAAGATGTCCTCTGCTGAGTGAGGGAATGACTCAGCCCATGAGCTCTATCCCCCGAGTCCCCAGTCCTGGGCTCTGCTCTCACAGCTCCAGTTCACTTCACCCTCTCTGCCAGAGCACAAGGTGGGTGGCTCCACAGGGAATTTTGTGCATTGGCCCTTTAAGCGGGTGCCCAAACTTTCAGCTGCCCCTCCCTGGCAGACAGCACCCCACTGCTTTTCATAGCCAGGTGTTATGTGGGTACCCTCCTCAGCTTGGTGCTCTCTGCTGGGGAGCCCAGTTTCACGATTAGATCCCAGAGTTCTTAGAGGCACCCAAGCTGAGAGATCTCTCCGGGACTTCAGATGCCGGCTGTGGTGCCTGGCCAGCCCTTTCCGCTCCACCCCTCCTACCAGGCTCTGGTCTCACCTTCAGTCCTTGGGTGTCGGGGTTCTCTCCTGCCAGTTTCCGCTGCTTATTCACGAATCTACTCAGGAATCCTTTCTGTATTTCAGCTGTAATTCCACTTGTTCTGGGAGCATGTCCATGCCGCATCCTCCCACTCTGCCGCCATTTTTAATTTGTTGTTTTTGTTTCACTTAATGTTGTCTTGCCGAGATTCACACAGGTTGTTGCACCTAACACTGACCTTGCTTTTTGTTGCTGTGTAATATTCTGCTTCCTTTTTATCCGGCTCTTTAACGCCTTCCCTGCAAGCCCCGCCCAGGGGAGAACCATCTGGGTATGGCCTGCTCTGCCTCTCCCATGCCCCCACACCCCCCGCGGGAGAGTGTGGCCCAAGGGTCACTGTTTCCTCAGCCCCACTTTGCCCTGGTCCAGTCTGAGGTTGAAGCTCTGGCCGAACAACTGAGTGAGGAAGAGGAGGAAGAGGAGGAGGAGGAGGAAGATGAGGAGGAGGAGGAGGAAGAAGACGAGGAGTCTGGCAATCAGTCTGACAAGGTGAGAGCTGGAAGCTGTGGGGCCCGAGGCCAGAGTGACCCAGGGGTCTGGGGCCAGGTTCCCTAACGCCCCCTCCTCCCCAGAGCGGTTCCAGCGGCCGGAGAAAAGCCAAAAAGAAATGGCGGAAGGACAGCCCCTGGGTGAAGCCGTCCCGGAAACGGCGGAAGCGGGAGCCTCCACGGGCCAAGGAGCCACGAGGTGAGGGGCGCCGCTGCTAGGGGTGCCCTCCTTCAGCCCCTCCCAGCCCCGGAGAGCGTGCACGAGCACGTGCTCACGCGGGTGCCCACACCCAGGCGCTGCGAGCTCGCACTCTCACTCTCTCTGTCTCTGTGTCAGGAGTGAATGGTGTGGGCTCCTCAGGCCCCAGTGAGTACATGGAGGTCCCTCTGGGGTCCCTGGAGCTGCCCAGCGAGGGGACCCTCTCCCCCAACCACGCTGGTAATTGCCAACTGCTGGGATAGGGAGCCGCTAGGGGGCACCGTCAGGACTGGAGGGAAAGGGGAGGAGGGGGACTCCATGGAGCCAGGGTGTTCCTGGCCAGGCTTTGGGGGTTCTGGAGCATGGAGGGAAGGGCAGGCAGGGTGGGGGTGAACGGCCCCGCCAGGGGTCCCGCTGGGTGAGGGGCAGGGCCTCCCTCAGCTCCCTCTCCTCTGTCCAAGGGGTGTCCAACGACACGTCTTCGCTGGAGACGGAGCGCGGGCTGGAGGAGCTGCCCCTGTGCAGCTGCCGCATGGAGGCGCCCAAGATCGACCGCATCAGCGAGCGCGCCGGCCACAAGTGCATGGCCACGGAGAGCGTGGACGGCGAGGTGGGCGGCGGCGGAGGGCCGGGAGGCGGGCGGAGGGGCGCCGCGGGCCCAGCCTCACTCCTCGCCCGCCCTCCCTGCCCACAGCTGTCGGGCTGCAATGCCGCCATCCTCAAGCGGGAGACCATGCGGCCCTCGAGCCGCGTGGCCCTGATGGTGCTCTGCGAGACACACCGGGCCCGCATGGTCAAGCACCACTGCTGCCCGGGCTGCGGCTACTTCTGCACGGTGGTGAGTGGGCGTGGGCCGGGCGGGCGGGCAGCGCCCTGGGGCTCCCTGGCCTCACCCGCTGTCTCCCTGCCAGGGCACCTTCCTGGAGTGCCACCCCGACTTCCGCGTGGCCCATCGCTTCCACAAGGCCTGCGTGTCCCAGATGAACGGCATGGTTTTCTGTCCCCACTGCGGGGAGGACGCGTCCGAGGCTCAGGAGGTGACCATCCCCCGGGGGGACGGAGCCACCCCGCTGGCTGGCACCGCAGCGCCCGCGCCCCCACCCCTGGCTCAGGATGCCCCTGGGAGAGCAGACACCTCCCAGCCCAGGTACTGGCCCCCCCACCCCCCACCCGCTCCTTGTCACTCCCAGCGCCCCGGTGACATCAGCCCCTCCTCCCGCAGCGCCCGGATGCGCGGGCAGGGGGAGCCCCGGCGCACGCCCTGCGACCCCGTGGCCGACACCATCGACAGCTCAGGGCCCTCCCTGACGCTGCCCAGCGGGGGCTGCCTCTCGGCCGTGGGGCTGCCCCCGGGGCCAGGCCGGGAGGCCCTGGAAAAGGCCCTGGTCATCCAGGAGTCTGAGCGGTGAGTGGGCGCTGTCCGCAGGGGCGGGCGGGCGGGCTGGGCCGGCCCGTGGTGAGCGGCTGCTGGAGTCTGAGCACCCCCTTGCAGGCGGAAGAAGCTCCGCTTCCACCCCCGGCAGCTGTACCTGTCCGTGAAGCAGGGGGAGCTGCAGAAGGTGGTCCTGATGCTGTGTGAGTGTCGTTCCTCCCCGTGAGCAGAGCTGGGCCGCGCCAGCCTCCCAGCGCACCCAGCTCCCGAGCGCACCCAGCCTCCCAGCGCCAGCCTCCCAGCGCGCCCAGCACCCCCAGCCTCCCAGTGCGCCCAGCCTCCCAGCGCCAGCCTCCCACTGCGCCCAGCACCCCCAGCCCCCCAGCGCACCCAGCCCCCCAGCGCACCCAGCCTCCCAGCGCGCCCAGCACCCCCAGCCTCCCAGTGCGCCCAGCCTCCCAGCCTCCCAGCGCCAGCCTCCCAGCGCCAGCCTCCCACTGCGCCCAGCACCCCCAGCCTCCCAGTGCGCCCAGCCTCCCAGTGCGTCCAGCCTCCCAGTGCGCCCAGCCTCCCAGCGCGCCCAGCCTCCCAGCGCCAGCCTCCCAGCGCCAGCCTCCCAGCGCGCCCAGCCTCCCAGCGCGCCCAGCCTCCCAGCGCCAGCCTCCCAGCGCCAGCCTCCCAGTGCGCCCAGCCTCCCAGCCTCCCAGCGCCAGCCTCCCAGCGCCAGCCTCCCACTGCGCCCAGCACCCCCAGCCTCCCAGTGCGCCCAGCCTCCCAGTGCGCCCAGCCTCCCAGCGCCAGCCTCCCAGCGCGCCCAGCCTCCCAGCGCGCCCAGCACCCCCAGCCTCCCAGTGCGCCCAGCCTCCCAGCCTCCCAGCACGCCCAGCCTCCCAGCGCCCCCAGCACACCCAGCGCCCCCAGCACACCCAGCCTCCCAGCGCCAGCCTCCCAGCGCTCCCAGCCCCCCAGCGCGCCAGCCTCGCAGCGCACCAAGCCTCCCAGCGCAGGGCTGGCCAGGGTGCAGGGAAGCCTTCGTCCTCACCGAGGTGCCTGGCAGGGCAGCACCAGGGGAGGGACCGCTTCCACTTGAGCTGAGCCGGGCCCTGGCTCCCGACTCTGACGCGTGCCCTGGAGCAGGCGCCCCCGGGCCTCGCTCACCACGTGTCCCCCTCTCCGAGCAGTGGACAACCTGGACCCCAACTTCCAGAGCGACCAGCAGAGCAAGCGCACGCCCCTGCACGCGGCCGCCCAGAAGGGCTCCGTGGAGATCTGCCACGTGCTGCTGCAGGTCAGCCCGGCCGCCCCCCTGCGCCCCCTCCCCCCACCCCCTCACAGGCCTCAGACTCCTGCCCGCCCGCCCTGGGCCAGCCACATGCCCCTCCTTGCAGGCTGGAGCCAACATCAACGCCGTGGACAAGCAGCAGCGGACGCCGCTGATGGAGGCCGTTGTGAACAACCACCTGGAGGTGGCCCGCTACATGGTGCAGCGCGGCGGCTGTGTCTACAGCAAGGTGCGCCGGGCCGCGGCTGCGTGGCGGGCGGGCGGGCGGGCGAGAGGGGCCGCGGCTGCGTGGCGGGCGGGCAGGCAGGTGGGTGGGCAGGCGGGCGAGCAAGAGAGGCCGCGGGCTGCGTGGCAGGTGGGCAGGCGGGTGGGCGGGCGAGAGGGGCCGCAGGCTGCATGGTGGGCGGGCGGCAGGTGAGGGGGGCTGCCGAGGACTCACTGCCCGTCTCCCCAGGAGGAGGACGGCTCCACCTGCCTCCACCACGCAGCCAAGATCGGGAACTTGGAGATGGTCAGCCTGCTGCTCAGCACAGGGCAGGTGGACGTCAACGCCCAGGTCAGAGGCCGGCGCCCCGCCCGGGGGGGCCTGGCTCAGCCTTGGGCTGCGGCCCCTTCTCACCTCGCTGACCTCTGACCCCTCCCTACCACCCATGTTGCTCCAGCTGTCCCCATCTTTCTCCCTCATTTGCATTTCTCTTTCTTGCCTGTTCTCTGTCACTGAGTACTGAGTTGCTGCCTTCATCTGAGGTGTCAGTGCGATTTTTTAAAAAATGTTGTTTTAATCAGAGAGGCAGGGAGAGGGGGAGAGAGAAACATCAATGATGAGAGAGAATCATTGATCAGCTGCCTCCTGCACGCCCCCACTGGGGATCAAGCCCGCAACCCAAGCATGTGCCCTTGGCTGGAATTGAACCTGGGACCTTTCAGTTCACAGGCCAACGCTTTACCCACTGAGCCAACCCAGCTAGTTTTTCACATGGTAGACGTGTTTCACTCTCACCGTCTCGATTCATCCTTTGTCGGGAGGAGCCCCTGGAGTTGGCTCCGTGGCCTCCGGCGCGGCCCAGCAGCCCCTGAGAGTGCCCTGCCCCCGGGCATTGGCACCCTGCAGTCTGTCCCACAGGGTGGCCGTTGCCGCTGGTTCCTGCATCTAGGCCTTCTGAGTCAGCAGACCTTGGAAATACAAATTTTTAAAAAAGAAAAAAAGTACTGCTCTGGCTGTTTTTGCTCAGTGGTTAGCCTACTAGGACTGCCAAAAGTAGCAAATAAAAAGAGGCCAGTTAAACCGGTCCCCTGCAGACCCTCCCAGGGCCGCCCCCTCCCTCAACTCTGGCCGAGGGCACGCGCCTTCCATGCCTTAGTTGCAGCCTCGATCCCCAGCCCCGGTCGGTGCGTGGGGGGCGAGGGGAGCAGTCAGTCCATGTGTCTTTCTCTGCCTCCTCTCTCTAAAAATCAGTGGGAAAACACCTCTCTGAGGACTGGCAGGAAGAGAAAAGGGCAGCAGGGCAGTCCCTGAGCAGTAGCCCTCTGGTTTGGTGTCAGATGAAGCAGAGGCGGGGCCCTGGGACCGGCTCCGGCTCCCGGCTCCCGGGCGGGCTGAGGGCCGGGCTGCATGGTGAGCAGAGCGGCCTCCCCCTCGCCCACAGGACAGCGGCGGCTGGACGCCCATCATCTGGGCGGCGGAGCACAAGCACATCGAGGTGATCCGCATGCTGCTGACGCGCGGCGCCGACGTCACCCTCACCGACAACGTGAGCGCGGGGGGCGGGGGGGGGGGGCGACCCTGGCCGACGTGCCGGGCCCAGGGCTCACAGCCGCCCCCCCAGGAGGAGAACATCTGCCTGCACTGGGCCTCCTTCACCGGCAGCGCCGCCATCGCCGAGGTCCTCCTCAACGCCCGCTGCGACCTCCACGCCGTCAACTACCACGGCGACACGCCCCTGCACATCGCCGCCCGCGAGAGCTACCACGACTGTGTGCTGTGAGCCGCCCACCCCACCCCCCGCCCCCGCCCCCGCCCCCGCCGGGCCCGGCCCCACGGCTTCCCTTCCCCCAGGCTGTTCCTGTCACGGGGAGCCAACCCTGAGCTGCGCAACAAGGAGGGGGACACCGCCTGGGACCTGACCCCCGAGCGCTCCGACGTGTGGTTCGCGCTCCAGCTCAACCGCAAGCTACGGCTCGGCGTGGGCAACCGCGCCATCCGCACCGAGAAGATCATCTGCCGGTGAGTGCGGGCTCCGCCCCAGCACCCCTGCACCAGCCCTCCCCGTGCCCCACACCCCGGCCCTCCCCGTGCCCCGCACCCTGGCCCTCCCAGGGCCCATAGAATCCCGAGAGCCACCTTCGGGTCTGCCTACTAGGACTGCCAAATGTAGCAGATTAAACAGAGGCTAGCCAGTTAACTCTGAGTGTCAGTGAGCAGCTGGTAACTTGTTTAACGGGAAAGGGCCCCTGCAGCATTGGGGTGCGCCCATCACACAGTTGGTTCTTGTTCATCTAAAACCTGCATTTAACCGGATGCCCTGCCTCTCGTCTGCCAGCTTCACTCCCCATGCCCTCGCCCCGCCAGGGACCGCCCAGCCCTCCCTCCCTCCCTCCCTCCGGGAGCCTCACCTGCTCTCCCTCTGCCAGGGACGTGGCTCGGGGCTACGAGAATGTGCCCATTCCCTGCGTCAACGGCGTGGACGGGGAGCCGTGCCCCGAGGACTACAAGTACGTCTCGGAGAACTGCGAGACGTCCACCATGAACATCGACCGCAACATCACCCACCTGCAGGTGAGCCGGCGCTGGCACAGACCCCGCTGCTCGTGTCCTCAGGCGCGAGCCTGGAGACGGGGCAGCAGCGGGCGGGCGCCGGGGGCTGGTTGCGGCGGGCTCACCCTGCCTCCCCGCAGCACTGCACCTGCGTGGACGACTGCTCCAGCTCCAACTGCCTGTGCGGCCAGCTCAGCATCCGCTGCTGGTACGACAAGGTACGCCCCGCCGCCTCGGCCCGGGCGGCTCCCCCCTCCGGCCCGGGCGGCTACCCCCCCTCCCCGCCCTGGCCCAGGCGGCTGGAGGGGGGCAGACTGGGACACATGCGGATCGAGGGGCGGGGCTTGGGGTCCAGTCCTCTGACCTCAGGGCACATGTGGGTCCCCAGTCTGGCTCCCTGTCTACCAACTGGGCGGAGGCCAGGGGAGGGTTTTTCTGTGGGGTTCGGGGGACCTGGGCAGCTGAGGTGGAACCGCACGGAAATCACCGCCCTCTCGCCCTCCCCAGGACGGGCGGCTGCTCCAGGAATTCAACAAGATCGAGCCCCCGCTCATCTTCGAGTGCAACCAGGCCTGCTCCTGCTGGAGGAACTGCAAGAACCGGGTGGTGCAGAGCGGCATCAAGTGAGCCCTGGCCCTGCACACACACGCACACGCACACGCACGTGCACCCACATGCGCACACACACACACACAGGCACGCGCACCCACATGCACACACACACACGCGCGCACACGCACGCGCACACACTGTCTCCCATGCACCCAGCATCTCTCTCCCCCACCCCCAGGGTTCGGCTGCAGCTCTACCGAACGGCCAAGATGGGCTGGGGGGTCCGCGCCCTGCACACCATCCCCCAAGGAACCTTCATCTGCGAGTGAGTGGCCGGGGCGCGGGGCGGCCCAGGCGCTCTGCCCTCTGCCCTCTGCCTCCTCCCTGACTGGTCCCCTCTCCTGGCCATCCCCGCTTCAGCCGCTGCTCTGCTCCCCTCCGCCTGCCAGGCTGCCCTCACCACTGCCCCATCCCGCCAGCCTCAGCCCCTCCCTGCCCTTTGTTTGTGTGGTGGTGCTTGTTCATCCAAAGATAGTTTTCCATTGGTTTCTAGAATGGGGGGGACACTGATACGAGAGACACGTTGATTGGTTGCCTCCTCATGCGTCCTGACCAGGGCCCACGACCTTTTTCTGTCATGTCTTCTCTCATCTCCTCAAGCAAGCAGCCCTCAGTTCTTCCTGCGCCTCAGTTTCCCACCATTGCTCACGGCTCGTCCTGCCCGCACCTGCCTTTGCCCTCACCCCTCTGTCCCGCCCTGCTCCGTGCCTCGGCCTCAGTCCCCTGCAGATCCTCCCAGTGCCGCCCTCCCCTACCCACCCTCCTGGGCTTCACCCGCTCCTGCAGCCCTGACACCCCTGCCCTCGGCCACGCCCACAAGCCTCCCAGTGTCCGAGCCGGGAGTGTCCCACCCAAGCCAGCTGCCGCAGCTCACCCCCAAACCCAGAGCCCTGGCTCCATCCCTTCACCTCTGCCCGCCACCACACTTGACTGTTGCAGCTCTCCATGGGGACCTCACAGGCCAGTGTCCCCCCGTGCGTCCTCCTGATCCTGCCCGAGGGGCCGCCTCTCCGCCCCCCCCCCCCCCCCCCCCCCGAGGAAGGCCCCGCGGCTCCGGCATGGGCAGCAGCGACGTTCCCGGACACTGACCGGGCGTCTGACAGTGAAGGGGGGCCCTGGGGTTGTGGGGAGACACGGCTGGGCTGGCTCCGCCCCGCCCACCTTCAGAGCCCCGCCCCCCCCCAGGTATGTCGGGGAGCTGATCTCAGACGCGGAGGCTGACGTGAGAGAGGATGATTCTTACCTCTTCGACTTAGACAACAAGGTGGGCAGGAGGTCCCGCCCCCCACTCCCAGTCCGCCGTGGAAACCTGGGCGGGGGCTGGGGCATTGGGGGCCATGCCTGGCGCTGAGGAGTGCCGCCCTCCCCTCAGGATGGAGAGGTGTACTGCATCGATGCCCGTTACTACGGCAACATCAGCCGGTTCATCAACCACCTGTGTGACCCCAACATCATCCCCGTCCGGGTCTTCATGCTGCACCAGGACCTGCGGTTTCCACGCATCGCCTTCTTCAGCTCCCGGGACATCCGCACCGGCGAGGAGCTGGGGTGAGGCTGGCCGGGGGGCGGGGGGGGGCTGAGAGCTCCCGGGGGGGCCTCCGGAGGGAGCTCCTTGGCACAGCGGTGCCCCTGGAGGGCGAGCTAAGAGGCCTGAGCTCTCAGACTTGGCTTCGCTGTGGGGGGCCCAGCGCCCGCGGCAGACAGTTCCAGGCGGACTGGTGCCCGGTCCGTCGCACACGGAGGCCAGCCTGTTGGGAGCAGGGTCCGCGGAGGCTCTGGCGGGGCCAGGGCAGTCAGCTCCGGGTCCCAGGAGCCTCCTACGCTCCTGACAGGTTTGACTATGGCGACCGCTTCTGGGACATCAAAAGCAAGTACTTCACCTGCCAGTGTGGCTCGGAGAAGTGCAAGCACTCGGCCGAGGCCATTGCCCTGGAGCAGAGCCGCCTGGCCCGCCTGGACCCCCACCCCGAGCTGCTGCCTGAGCTGGGCTCCCTACCCCCTGCCAACCCCTGAGAGCGGACCATCCCCCGCCCCGCCCCCAGTGCCCCCAGCTCCGCAGCTGCCTCACGTGCTGCTCACATCACCTCGCTGAGGGCACTGCCGTCTCCCTTCACACATTCCGGCCAGAGACCCAGCCAGGCCCTGGCGGTCTGACAGCCCCTTGCCCAGGGCTGGATCCTCCCTGGGGTGACTTCAGGGCTGGCCGCCCCGCCCCCTCCTCAGCTGATGTCTGATGAACTAAAATGGCCTCCGTGCCTGCTGTGTCTTGGTTCTCAATAAATGTTGAGTTTGGTAACAACGTGTGGGGGTTTGTTTTTGTTTTTTTTGTGGGGGGGAGGGGCGGTGCTGCGGGAGGAAGCACAGCGCACACAGGGATGTAGGTCCAAGGGCAGAGCCGGATGGAAGCTGCCCCGGGGAGGGGAGGGAGGACCCTGAGGGCGGGCCTAGTCAGGCCTAAAAGGCTAATGACCAGCCTGGCCGCAGGGCGTGCACGGGCGGGAGGTGGTTGGCAGGGCTACGAGGGACCTAGGAGCTCCCAGGCCCTTCAGGTCAGTCCTGGCCCGGCCTCGCCCTCCTCCCTTTGCATTCTGAGGAGGAACTAGCGCGGGGACCACGGGCGGAGGTGGGGCGGTGACGTGGAGGGCGGGGCCTCGGCAGGTGAGTTGCCAGGTCTCCCGACTCCCAATCACTCCAGCTCCTCCCATCACCCCGGAGACACTGCACCATGGGGGGGAAGCCGGCCGGGGAGGAGGCCTACGGTGAGGCTAGGGGCGAGGCTAGGGGCGGCCAGGGCCTGCGAGGGAGGGAGACCGGCTGGGCCCCTCGGGCTGGCCTGGGGAAGCGCTGGGGAGCTCGTGGAGGAAGGCAGGGCCAGGGTCCTGGGAGGAGGATAGGGTCAGGGGCTCCGGCTGTTGCTAAGGAACCGGGAGTGAAGCTGGGGTTGGGCTTTATTTAGCCCCTGGGACCAGGGCTTCAGGCCCAGACGCCTCGGCAGGGCCCTGGGAAGGAAGGAGCCTGAAGGGAGGGAGGCAGGGTGTGGCCCTGAGCTGCCGGGGTGGGCTGTGGAGCTGCAGCTGCCCTGAGGCCGCCAGCAGGAGACTGGGCCCCAGGAGGGCCAGCCTGGACCCTGGGCTGGGGGAGGGTGTGGGTCTCCCCACAGGTCGGTGAGCAGGGGCAGGGCAGTGGGTTGTGCGGGCCCCGGTGAGGACTGAGGCTCAGGGTCTATGGGGGCTGGTAGTACCTTGGAGAATAGAGGCGGGCCTCCTGGGGGTCCCGTGAAGGGTGAAGCGGAAGGCCTGAGGGGGACGGTGTCTGTCCAGAACCTGGGAGCCGCCCAGGACCTGAGGGTTAGGAATGGAGGTGTGAGGGAGGGGGACCGGACCAGCTTCGGGGTCCCTGTGAGCAGTGGGGCTGGGGCCTGTCTGAGCCCTGTTCTGGAGGGCAGGGGACTCCCAGAGGGCAGGCCTGGGTTTCAGGGGCGCCGGGAAGGAGAGGACTTCCTGGGAGACTTCCTGGAGCAGTTTTGGGTCAATCATTGATCGCATGTCCGAGAGCTGAGTAGGGACAGAGTCCAGGCGTCCGCAGAGCACAGACCCCACCTCTTCCCACACTGCCCAGCCCTCGGCCCCTCCGCGGCGCCCGCAGGGACCCTGGGGCCGGCCCCACTGGCTCGCCGTGTGTACTCAGGGAGGACCGGGAACAGGACACAGCGGCAATCTCAACCGCCAAGCTCAGGTGTCACCTGCCTGGATTGCTTGCCCGGCGACTGGCCGTGGCGGGGGGGACAGCCCTTCAGAGGGGGTGTGCAGGGAGCTGCTCCCCCCCAGGTCCTGCGGGAGTTGAGGCCTGTGGCTCTGGCTTCTCCCCCCCCCCCGCCCCCCGCGGCCTGGGGCAGAGGGGAGAGGGGCTGTGGCCTCCCTGTGGCCCCATCTGCCCGCTGGGAGAGGAGGGGGATGGGATGGCAGCTTGAGGGCCACTGGGAGTGGTGACACAGAGTCACAGCAGGTGGGAGGGACGAAGGAGAGGGGGGAGGAGGGGAAGTCACTGTCCCGGGAACGGCCTCCCCCTCCTGGGGGATCCCCGTGAGCAGCAGACCTGCTGGCAGCCTTGATCCTACCTTTCCTCCCCCATTGCCCTCCTGCCAGCCTGCCCCGTCCGTGTCCCTTGGCGGGACAGGAAATGGGGAGTCCCCTGAGTGCCTCGCTCTCCACCCTGCTCCCCACTGTCCGCAGGGCAGCCCCTCAAACACGACCCTTCCTTCCGAGGCCCCATCAAGAGCAGGTGAGCTCCGACCGGCACTGGGGGGGCGGGGGCCTGGCCTGGGCGTGCCCTTGCTGGAACGGGTAAGAAGCTGGTGCCAGGAGAGCCATGGCGGAGGGGCCACGGCTCGGGTGTGCCCTTGGGAACCAACTGATGGGCAGCTATGCTTCCTGGTGGCTCGGAGGCGGCTCGCCCTCCGGAGGCCGCCGCGCTCAGCAGGCCCTCCCGCAGGGGCTGCACCGATGTCATCTGCTGCGTCCTCTTCCTCCTCTTCCTCCTGGGCTACGCGGCCCTGGGCGCCGTGGGTGAGTTCCCGGAGGGGCGGGGCGGGGCGGGGCGCGGCGGGCGGTGACCAGGCTGCTCCCCACGACGCCCCTGCCGCCCTCCCTCCGGGGACTCTGTGTGTCTGTCCAGCGTGGCTGTACGGAGACCCCCGGCAAGTCCTCTACCCCAGGAACTCCACCGGCGCCTACTGCGGCCTGGGGGCCAACAAGTGAGTGCAGGCGGGGCCAGAGGGCGGGGCGGGGGGGACAGGGACCCCTCAGCCATCCAGCAGCCTCCCGCTGGCCGCTGGCGTGTGAGGGCCCCCCATTGCGAGGAAGGCAGAGCCAGTCAGGTGCACAGGCCTGACTGGGAGATGGCCTTTGGCTCCCCGCCGGGGTGCTCGGCCTCTCCGACTTCACCGTCTGAGACGCAGGGGTGACCTCGACTCCCATGACCTCGTGGGCAGGAAGTGGCCCGTCACAGCCAAACCTCCGGCTTTCACGGCGCTGGCATGGCGGCCCTGAGGCTGTGGGCAGCAGAGGGCCTGCTCGAGGGCAGGAGGCTGGGTGGTGACGGGCTCCAGGGTTCATGCTTTTAACCGGCTGCGGGCTGGGCTTGCTCGGCTGACCCACCTGCGGCGCTGGTGGTGCGCTCTCCGGCTCTCGTACCTCCAGCTGGCCCGCGTCTCCGCGGCCGGGGCGAGGCCGGCCCCCTGCCCCTACGGCTGGCCGGGCCTGACACCTGCCGTCCTCCTGCTGCAGAGAGAAGCCCTACCTCCTGTACTTCAACATCTTCAGCTGCATCCTGGCCACCAACATCATCGCCGTCGCTGAGCACGGCCTGCGATGCCCCACGCCCCAGGTCAGAGCCCCGACCCGCCTCTGCCCAGATGGCCCCGGTCGCCCGGTCGGGGCAGAGCCCACAGCACGCCCTCTGCCCAGGTGTGTGTGTCCTCCTGTCCGGCGGCCCTGTGGGCGGTGAGCCCGGGTGACCTGTCGCGGACGGTCGGGGAGGTCTTCTACGCCGCGAACCGGACCGTCTGCCTGCCGGGGGTGCCCCGGGACATGGTGAGCCGCCCAGCGCAGCGCTGTCATCCGGGGGCCCCGTGGGGGGTGCAGGGGCAGGGGGAAGGTGACGGTGGGGGGGGCGGGGGTCACTCCATCCTGCTGTGACTGGTGTCTGTCCCTCCCCACCCCAGCCAGTACTCCAAAGCCTGGAACAAGAGCTCTGCCCCGGCTTCCTCCTCCCCTCCTCCCCAGGTGAGCACGCCTCCTCGGCTCAGGCCTGTGCTTTATGGCTCCAATGAGGAAGCCGCCCAGGGACAGCCAGCACGCAGGGGGACAGCGCATTGTCCTGGCCTGCGGCGCGGGCGTGGCTGGCGCGGGGGAGCTGCGTGCTGATGGGGAATCAGGTTCAGAGAGGCTGTGCGTGGCGAATGCACCCTCGCACGTTTAGGTGCAAGCACAGAGGACAGACAGAGTTCGCCCAATGTGCAGATGAGTATGGCTGGCGGTGGGGTGGCAGTTGACTAACTTTAATTCTGTATGCACTTCTTTCCAATAGTAAATTTTTCTTTAAACAACCAAATAATTTTTATGACTTTTTAATTGACTTTGAGAGAGAGAGGAAGGGGAGGGAGAAAGAGAAACATTAATGTGAGAGACATCCATCAGCCCCCTCCTGCATGACCCCTACTTGGGATCGAGCACAAAACCTGTGTATGTCCCTAGCTGGCTTGGCTCAGTGGATAGAGCACCAGCCTGTGAACTGAAGGGTCCCAGGTTCGATTCCGGCAAAGGGCATATGCCCGGGTTTTGAGTTCAATCCCCAGCAGGTGGTGTGCAGAAGGAAGCCGATCAATGATTCTCTTTCATCATTGACTAGAGGCCTGGTGCACAAAATTAGGCCTGGTTGGATCAGGCCTAAAGGAGCAGTCGGACACCTCTCTCACAATCCAGGACTGCTGGCTCCCAACTGCTTGCCTGCCGGCCTTCCTGATTGCCCCTAACCACTCCCCTGCCAGCCTGATGGATGACTAACTCTTCCCCTGCCAGCCTGTTTGCCCCTAACTGCCCTCCCCTGCAGGCCTGGTCAACTCTAACTGCCCTCCCCTGCAGGCCTGGGTTCCCCATAACTGCCCTTCCCTATAGGCCCAGTCGCCCCCAACTTCTCTCCTCTGCTGGCCTGGTTACCCCTAACTGCCTTCCCCTGCAGGCTTGATCACCCCCAACTGCCCTCCCTTGCAGGCCTAGTCCCTCCCAACTGCCCTCCCCTGCTGGCCATTTTGTGATGGCCATCTTGTGTCCACATGGGGGTAGCCATCTTGTTTGTTGAATTGATGGTCAACTTGCATATTACTCTTTTATTTGATAGGATAGAGGCCTGGTGCAAGGGTGGGGGCCAGCTGGTTTGCCCTGAAAGGTGTCCCGGATCAGGATGAGGGTTTCCTTGGGATATAGGGTGGCCTGGGTGAGGGGACTTGTGGTGGT